GCAATAGAGACAGGATCTCTGGAGTGACCAAGCACGCTTCCCTGCCTGGCAAGCTGCTTGACGTGTCTGGGTTTGGCGGGTTGCTAAGAGAACGGAAAGTTTGATGGAGAGGAAATATGGTGTGGGGTTGTTTTTCAGGAGATGGCCTTGGCCCCTTAGTTCCAGGGAAGGGAACTCTTAGAGCGTCATCATACCAAGACATTTTGGACAATTACATGCTTCCAACTTTGTGGGACAGTTTGGGGTTGGCCCTTCCTGTTGCAACATGACTGTGTACCAGTGCACAAAACAAGGTCCATAAAGACATGGATGAGCAGGTTTGGGATGGAGGAACTTGACTAGGCTGCACAGAGTTCTGACCTCAACCCCATAGAACACTTTTGGGATGAATTAGAGTGCAGACTGCGAGCCAGGCCTTCTCGTCCGACATCCGTGTCTGACCTCACAAATGCGCTTCTCGAAGAATAATTAAACATTCCCATAGACACACCCCTAAACCTTGTGGACAGCCTTCCCAGAAGAGTTGAAGCTGTTATAGCTGCAAAGGGTGGGCCAACTCAATACTGAACCCTAGGGACTAATCACTCACTGTGTTCATTCATAACTGAGGCCTGGTAAACTTTTTTGGGGGGGAGGGTAAGGGGGTTGTCAGGTTGGTTGTATGGGGCCCCATGGTTCTAACAGCAGGCCTGTCTTTATAGATACTATAATTCCAGAATTCCAGGTTCCCCAATCCTCTTCCAGAATTTCCACATTAAGATCTGCTTCCCAAGCTATCTGAGAAGACAATTGGGAGGATGGAGTCAGTTAATGTGATTTTTGTAATTACCCTACTGGCTTCCCACTTTTCTTGGGTTATGGGTCCCACCAATTCAGATGCAGCCATAACACTTCTACTACAGAGAATAGGCATGTGTCCTACGGAGGCAGCAAGAGGTGGATTCTGAAAGTCAGTAGAGTTCGTATCCTTTTTGCTTTTGGTAAATCTGGCATCCACCAAAAACTAAACACCTTTAATTTATTCATCATTATCTATTAAATTTTGTAGTCAGACAAGTCAAAGTCAAATTAATATTTTCAGTTTTCTATATGCTGAAGAATTTTTACATGCAAGACTCTGGCCAAGTACAGTGGATGGTTTAGTCAAAGAAAAGACAGACCTTAATTAAACACCAGCAGAATGTCTCAAAGTCTTTACAACAAATGTGTAATAGTAATCTGTTAAATAGATGAGCCATGAAGCTAATCCTGAATTAGAGCTGTGCAGAGTATAAAGATTATATACACAGTATATGGAGATTGGAAGATTCACTCTGACACTGTAACACTGTCTCAATAAATCTAGCGAGAAACCTGGGCTTATTATCATATGCAATATGTATTAGCAATGTAATTTCGTACTATTCTAGATGGGATGAGAATCTGTCAATTTAATGACTCTAAGATGTTTTTTGATAGGTGTTCTTTAATATAAGACTTGATATTTCACTTCAGCTGGATTTTATATTCAAGGCTATTTTGTGCATTAAGCATCACTACCATAACCATTGCAAGGTCCCTTTTGGCAGATAATTCAAGGTTAATCAAACTCCTACTAAGTATTCTTGGGAATTTGTCTGAATTATAATTAAAGTGGTTGCAAACCCTTACATATACCCAGTGAAGTTACTGGCCTGTGATGATACACAGAGATGAAACAAATCCTCCTACATAAGTTGCACCTGTTTATCTGCCATCTTTTCTTCTCCACAGCTATTCAAAGTCCGGATTTATAAAGCTTGACTGAGGTTTCAGAAAACTAGGGTGGGGAGCTGAAGTTACACACAGCAGAGTTCAGTGAGGAGAGCTCAGAGCTTATTGGAGGGAAGCCCCCCTTTCCACAGCACATAGGAACAGAACTAATGCTGTCATTCACAGGCTGTGTGCTGGAGATCCCTCCCCTGTCACCTTTTTTCTCTTGGTATCAGAAAAACTGTCAGCGTGGTTCATGCTGATAGCACAGGAATGAAGCAGCAGACAGAAATGACACTTACTGCTCTTGATTGAGACAAGCACACACTATAGAGGGATATGCTTTTGTCATTTTTCATGTCTGAGGTTTACAACCACTTTAAAGACTGAAACAGCTTCAGGGGTTTTACAGCGGTTATTGCATACAATATATGCAGAAAAAAAGTGGAAGTGTTGCTTTTTTAACATGAAGGAGGAGAGGGATAAGTAGCTCTTATGATAGTTGCCATGGCTATGGATGTCATGTTCAAAAATACATTAACATTTTTCATTTTTTTTAACATGAGGTTTTATGTACTAAATCCAACAGATTTAGGATGTCAAGGTGGTTGCCATATCATTTGATAGATAGTGGAAGTTAATAGCTGCAAGCAAGCATTGACATGACCAAACATCTTCCATTTGTCTATTTTAAAAAAATGAATACGTGAATAGGTAGGCGCTGCAATGATTATATAACAAAGATAAAAAAGAAAAAAATAGAGTGAACTAACAATAACATCAAGCAAATGGTATTCCTGAACAAAATATGATGAATAGTGAACATGATATATTATAGTGACAGTCCCATAAAGATGTAGTTCCGTGGATCAAAAATATGTTCTTTCACCATGTGCAGACAATAAGTGAATTTCTCACTCACCAGAAAAAATTTACCCCGGTTAAGGTGGTCAAATATCACTTTGTTATCATAAATATTGACGACCAGCAACAGGTTCTCCTGGATCAGACCTCCCGGTGTCCTAATAAGAGATATGGATCCAGGGGATCAGAGATGACTGCCCCCAGTTGGGTGATCATAAGACTCTGGGAATACAAATGGTGGATGGGGATTCACAATCCAAGGCTCTCCTCAAGACAAAGGTAATGCTCCAAGCAGCTCAAATAAACCAAATGAATTAAATTGCTCTAAGTAAAGTATTTATTGAAAATAGCATAACAAGGTAGATATATATCAATGCAGTTACATGTATTGGTGCTCATAAACTGGTATCAGTATACACAGCCTGTGTCACAATGACAACCCTGCCCCATGCTCCAGGGTGCCCCTGCGGCCTCCCTGTCACATTCTATTTTACACTTAGATATACAGGAAGTGATCCTCTCTATTTTCCTGCTGCAACAGCCTACTTATATTCTCCCCTTCTGCTGGCATTCATCAGGTGCAGGAGGAAAATGTTCATTTTGCTAATCAAAATAAAAATAATTAAATTCTGAACTATTCCATTTAAATGTGGCCCACGACCCGTTACCAAATCACTTAAGTGACCCTCGCTCTTCAAGGGGTTAGCACCCCTGCTTTAAATGATACTGCTGAAAGTTTTAAAAAAACTGTTCAAGTACAACTAAAGGCAAACCTTTTTTTTAGTTCTGGATAGAATGGAGAGGGAGTAGAACTTCAGTCTGTTTCTTCTTGCGGTCTGCGCTCCTGTTATGGAGATTTACCTCCCTATTTGTCCTGTTTACTGTTATCATTTTGGTTGACAGACGGGAAATCTTCCAATGGGGACACTTGTTCTGGCGACATCCAGGGATTCCCTCACTTTGGAAGGATTTCCTCTTACTTCCTGTTTTGGTCATGGATAGAAAGTGAAGTGACATTTTCCCAATGGGGCAGAGATGGCAAAAAGCCAAAATCCAAAATAAAAAAAAAAAAAAAACGTTTTGCCTTTAGTTAGTCTTTAACAAGCACAACCTTTGGGTTTCTGTCATATAATGAGTAAATACAGGTATATGCTTGAAGATTGGAAAAACATAATTTTAAAAATTCCAACTAGGATCAGGGTCTGGCACACGGTACAGCCTCCTAGGGCTGTAGACCATTCTATTCAAGGCTTGGTTGCTTCAACAGGTCTTGTATTTTAAGACACAGTCTTCTGTAGTTAGTGTTACTAAACCCACAACAGTAAAATCATTCTGTATATGCGGTAAAGCATGCTTGTTATACTCACTGTGGAACCTAAGGAGTAAATCCTCCACATTGTGTAAAAAGGCTGTTTTATTCTGTCTTCTCTGATCCTCCCCTTCTACTGTTCCCAGTCCATCTGCTGATAGTATAGAGCTCTAGGAGCCACTCTCCACATGCTCAGTTTAGCGTGTATGGCTATAGAGTTTATTTTTTCTATGGGAGGCTGCATGTGATCAGCACAGGGCCAATCAGCACTGTCCAAACAGAGGGTCAGAGGTCATGCAGCCTCTAAGGACAGTTGGAGAATTACATTTCCTTCAAGCTTTAACATGTGCTCAGCTGGACACTGATAGAAGGCACAAGACTGCTCTAACTGCTGATGGGAAAAGGTATTTAGCAGTTTATATTTACTAAAATAATTGCATTTCCATATTATGTGTACTGTGGGTGACCAGATATAGTGAATGCAGGGTCCGGGGAGACCAGATAAAGCGAATGCAGGGTCCTAGGAGACCAGATATAGTGAATGAAGAATCCTGGGAGACCAGATATAGTGAATGCAGAGACCTGGGTTTAGTAACACTTTAGAGTATAGTTTTGGTCAGAGTGGAGATGGATTAGAACCACTGTCAGGTTGCTACTGCTGTCATTGTCCCTGTTAGGGAGATTCCCCCTCTCTATTTGTCCTGTAAAGAAAACCCCAAATTTTGATTTGTCCCCAGAAAAGTAATAGTGGGGAAATTTTCCAATGGGGATGCTAGTTATGGTGACCTGGGGATCCCTAATGAATTCCCTTAACTTGCAAGATTTTTTCACTTCCTGTTTACCATTGGGGAGATTTCTCTTCACTTCCTGTCCCATAGCCACACAGACGGCAAAAAATAAACTGATACGGGTTATAACCCTCCCTTACTCTATCAAAAATTAGAAATATTTTTCCTATAGTTCTACTTTAAGCCTTAATCCGCTTGAGGTGTCACAAACAGCAAAACTTTCTCTTTGTTTTGGATACACACCAATGAGTTTTTCTTGCTGACTGTGCCCTCTTTAGGGATATTCACCCTATTTGTCCTGTTTACTGCGATCATTGAAAGTGAGAGTAACACTGACAGGGGAGAGACGTGTGTGTAAACAACACAGGTCTCTCTCCTGCCAGCAAGGACATGCACAGCAGAGAAATACACAGCAGCATGTCTCCCAAGTAAAACACACACAGCCCATTATGTAAAACAGCACACAGGTAACCCTTTGATTGCCCCTTATGTTAACCCCTTCCTGCCCAGTGTCATTAGTACAGTGTCAGTGCTTTTTATTAGCACTGATCACTGTCATAGTGTCACTGGAGATGTCAGTGGCAGTTAGTTCCCACCCAGTGTTAGGTCACAGTCCCACTATGATCGCCACCACTACTAGTATAACAAAAAATAAAAACTCCACTACCTATACCGCCATTTGTAGATGCTATACCTTTCATGTAAACCAATTAATTTACTCAATTACACAATAGACATGCAGCAGAATACAATTTGGCCTAAATTTATGCTGAAATTTGATTTTTTAAAATTTTTTTACTGGATATGTTTTATAGAAAAAAATGTTAAAAATATTTTTTTTTTCAAAATTATTAGTCTTTATTTATACCACAAAAAATAAAAAATGAACAGGCATTAAAATACCACTGAAGGAAATCTCTATTTGTGGGGGAAAAAAAGGACAAATTTCCAGGACCCTGCATTCTCTATATCTGGTCTCACACAGTACACAGAACATGGAAGTGCAATTATTTTAGTAAATATAAACCTCTAAATACCTTTTCTCATCAGCAGTATATAGCAGTTTTGTGACCTCTATAAGTGTCCAGCTGAGCTAGTTAATCCTGTAGGAGGAGTTTTTATTCTCCTCTGACTGTCCTATGAGGCTTCATAACCCCTGGCCCTCTGTCAGAGTGCATGTGATTGTCCAAGGGACAACCAGCATTGTTCAGAGCATGTTCAGAGTGCCTCCTAGAGCTCTGTACTCTCAGCAGATGGACTGGGAACAGTAGAAGGGGAGGATGAGAGAAGACAGGATCAAACAGCCTTTTTTACACAATGTGGAGGATTAACCCCTTAGGTTCCACAGTGGGTATAATAAGCATGCTTTACTGCATATACAGTAACACTTTTTTTTTAAAGGTCATTTTATTTAACAAGCTAACCAAGTACAAAGGTAAACAGGGTACCCAATGATGGGTGTAAAATACAGGCTATAGACAATTATCCAATTGCTAGTCAACAAAAGTAATCAAAATTGAGTTCAGTCCCATCATTGTTACAATACAACAAAAATTAAGCTGGTGAATAACATACCAAATACAAAACATAGCACAAAATGATTGTTGTATGTTTAGTAACACTTTACATGTATAAAAACAACATACTGTACTTAAGAAGCTAAAATAGATCTGAAATATAATCACAAGAATATTAAAAAATTGTGAAAATAATAATAGAAAAAATAGACTTTTCAGTAAACTTTACTCTCCGGCTGAAATACAGGATTACTCTCCTTTGTATTTAGGAGTCTAGCAGAAATATTTACTTAGTTTTACAGATTAATCACTGTGCTTTACCCATACCAATCTTCAGGACTGCATATTTTACAGCAATAAGTTAGATATTCCAGCTGTGCACAGAACTGCAAGATGACTTAAAAATAAATCAACTGAATTCATTACCAACCATCAGCAGATTATCAAACTGCGACATCAACACTTACTTATCCAGATCTGGAGCTTTCCTCTAGAAAACCAGGTTTGTATACAAATGAAAAGCCAAGAAATGCTTTTTATTTTAGATCGAGTAATGAATATGGTGTTTGGCAACCCATTCAATTTTCCTTGTTTTTATTATTTACAAGCTGTATTATTTTAGTTACTACTATAGGCATGCAATAAAAATGCAGTCTAGGGTATGTAAGGGCTATTATTACATACCCTATTTATTTTTATTTTATTTATTTCAGGTACTTATATAGCACTGTCAATTTATGCAGCACTTTACATATATATTGTACATTCACATCAGTCCCTAACCTTCAAAGGGTGTACAATCTAAAGTCCCAAATCTACATTCACACATACACTAGGGCCAATGTAGACAGGAGGCAATTAACCTACCAGCATGTCTTTACTCCAGTGAACTGGAGTACCCAGAAGAAATCCATGTAGGTACAGGGAGAACATGCAAACTCCAGGCAGGTGGTGCTGTGGTTGGGATTCGAACCAGGCAGAAGTGCTAACCATTTAGCCACTGTGCTACCCTTACAGAGTTAGATAGTGCCAGCCTAGTGTGGGGCATCATGGGAAGGAAGCAGGGATATAATATAAATATACTTTATATGGATGCCTGAGTTTGCCATGGTAAATGCCTGGAGGACTAAGGATGTGGGCTGAGGTTCAATGCTTTGGAACTTCTCCATCGGAGAGAAGTAATGGAGGAAAGATGCAGGACATTTGAAACTACTTGTACTCACTTTGTGAAGGGTTGAGGAAAACCCCCTAAAATATGATGTTACTCCAAGTAGATAGATACCAAACATGGGCCCCTCGATTCAGCTCTCCTCTTGCTATTGCACTCTCTTTACAGTTTGTAACCTCAAAGGATGTGCCTTCACCACTGGGATGACTGAAGCCTGTACATTTGTAAATGAACTGCTTCAGTTAGCAGTTAAAAGACATTTGTAATCCGAACTGCTCCTTCTTTTAACCACTTCTGGACCAGTGACATACCAGTACATCTCTGGGCTTTCCATGGGTGTACTGGAGGGATGCTACCCCCCCCCCGTGTGCTTGTGCACAAAGGCGGACGCACTCGTCAGGTCTGCATGCAAACAGTGATTGACCCATACATGTGAGGTATTGACGCAATTGTCAGATCATGAGCAGTAATTCTAGCACTAGACCTCCTGTAAATCTAAAGTGGTAACATGTAAAGGCTTTTAAAGTGCCGCCTATGAATAGTAAAATTTACAGTTTGTCGCCATTGCATGGGCATGCTCAATTTTAAAACATGACATGTTTGGTATCTATCTATTCGAGATAACATCATCTTTTATATTTTACGAAAACTTGGGTTATGTATTGTGATTGTTTGCAAAAAAACTTTTAAAAAGTGTATTTTTTTCCCAAAAATTTTATTAGAAAAACCGCTGCGCAAATACCGCGTGGCATTAAAAAAAAATATTTATATATCCACTTAACCTCCTCTTTTGCACTCGCACAGTGCATACAATCCACCACCCACTCCGACGGGAATATCCTGGACCTTGTCTTCTCCCATCTCTGCACTCCCCACAACCTCACAAACACCCCCTTCCCTCTCTCTGACCACAACCTTATTACCTTCTCTGTCTCCTTGTCCTCTAACGCCTACCCCTCCAAATGCCATACTACTACCAGCCGAAACCTCCGCAACCTGAACCCTGCCCCCCTCCACGCTGCAGCTGATCAACTTCACAACAGCATCCTTCCCCTGTTCTGCCCCGACCTGGCCACGACTGCCTATAACAACTCGCTGTCAACCGCCCTTGACTTGCTAGCGCCTTTAACCACACAAAACATCAGACCCCGACCGCTCCAGCCCTGGCAGACTGATCACACCAAAACTCTCAAACGACGTAGTCGTGCGCTGGAGCGACTATGGCGCAAAACCAGATCCCAACTAGCATTTACCTGCTATAAATCTGCCTTCCACACCTACACCTCCTCCCTCCACGCTGCCAAACAAGCCTACTTCCTGACCCTCATCAAGACCCTCTCCTCCAATCCTCACCGACTCTTCTCCACCTTCAACTCTCTACTCTCTTCGCCCCACCCAGCACCTCACTCACCGCCCTTGAGATTGCCAATCACTTCAAAAACAAGATTGACGCAATTTGCAAGGACATCGTCGCTGCTCAAACTTCCTCCCCTTGGTGCTTTATAAATACTGTACAATAATAATTATATATATATATACACACACACACACAATTTTCTAGCAAAACTAAAATGTAAACAAAAAATGCTAGAAAAGGCTTGGGGCTAAAGTGGGCAGGCTAGCAGCACAGGCGGGCCAGGCAACTTACTTGTATGTCGCGGTCATACTTCTGGTTTTGTGGAGCATGTGTTTGGACACAGACACGTTTTGCTGAAATAAGCAGATCTGCTGTGCCCAATCACACGCAGAGTTCTGTGTTTACAAAACACAGAATTTTTTGTACAGTGAACAGCGATCTAGCGGTTTATTCTCCCTGAAAAGCAGGGAGAGCAACCAGTCATACAGTAAAGTAGAAGCAGCACATATTACACACATTACACACTGTTAGGCACACAATTAACCCCTTCATTGCCCCTAGATGCTGTCCCCCTTCCCAGCCAGTGTCATTAGTAAAGCGACAGTGTACTGTATTAGCACTGATCACTGTATTAGTGTCACTATTGATATCAGTGCCAGTGGACAGTACATCCCAGCCAGCAGAAGCTAGCACCAGATTGCCCGCCACAATATCACAGTCCCACTTTAAGTTGCTGATCACCAATCTTACCAGTATAGCTGCATAAATTCCAGTATATATACCATAGTTTGGAGACCCTACAACTTTTGCACAAACCAATTAATGTACACTTATTGGAATTTTTATTTACCATGATATGTAGCAGAATACATTTTGGGCTACATTTATATAAAACAAAATAAAAAACCTCAGTGGTGATCAAATACCACCAAAAGAAAGCTCTATTTGTGTTAAAAATAGATATAAGTTAGGGAACAGTGTTGCATGACCGAGCAATTGCTTGTTAAAGTAGCACAGTGCTGAAGTGGAAAAATGGCCTGGTCATGAAGGGGGTAAAACCTTCCGGAGCTCAAGTGGTTAACCCCAAGGTAGGGACATCCTTTAGAAAAAGACAGTGCTGGATGAGGCTGCTATTGGGGTACCTTGCTCTATGGCCTGAGGAAGGTATGGTACTGACTGTTTGAAGGTGTGGGGTAGACCAAGACAGGAGCCTCCCAGGGTGTACTCATGTATTGGCAAATTCCAAAGAGACCGCATATCCAAAGCACCCTGATAGCTCTAGGAAACCATCCTATGTCCAGCCCTGATGGGTTAAGAGAAGTGCATGCGCTCCTCCATCACATGATTAGTCTTACATCTTTAGTTGTTCTAAAGGTGATACTTTTTCAATTGCACAAACAATTCATTTTAGGACCAGGAGTTGCATTCCCTTTTTTTCAGTCCAAGTAGCCTACTGATACACTTGGCTGATCATCCAAAGTTTAGGTCAGGGGTGGTCAACTGTGGCCCTCCAGCTGTTGTAGAGGCATTGCAAAACTGACAGTTACAAGCATGACTCCCAAAGGCAGAGTCATGATGGGA